CCCCAAAACGATGTCAATTGTTCGCAGTCGCCTGCGCTTGATTTCGAGGAGGGCCCCCCGAGGATGCAACATGAGCCGGGGGGGCCCTGGGGGCCCAGACCCCCGACGCCATGCTTTTTTCACAAAGTCGGTCCCCAGAGGTCTGGACCCCTTCCCCGCGGACCGGTTCTTCATCATGCGTCGTTTTCTGATGGTCCCGAGGCCCGGGAAGGGCCCCCAGAGGCCGGTAATAGCGTAACACCTCCCGTCGCGATGTTGTCCATAACACGAGGGACTGGTTTTTCATCCTGAGTCTTTTTGTTGATGGTCCCGAGGCCCGGGAAGGACCCCCGGAGGCCGCAGATAGCGTTAAACCTCCCGTCGCGATTTTGTCCCCAACGCGAGCGACTGGTTTTTCATCCTGAGTCTTCTTTTGATGGTCCCGAGGCCCAGGAAGGGCCCCCGAATGTCGCAGATAGCGTAAAACCTCCCGTCGTGATTTTGTGCCCAGCGCGAGGGGGCCTGGGTGGTGAGCTGGGCATTGTGCACTTTCCTTCCGCACCCGTACCGGTCGAGTGCCGAACCTCTGCAGGAGGAGGCGGACGAGGAGGAGGAGGAGGGAATGGGAATGACGTCGAGCAAGAGTCCAAGCACGGACCCCTGCTGCGAGGAGGAGGAGGAGGAGGAGGAGGAGGAAGAGGGGGAGGAGGAGGAGGCGATCAGGGCGCTTCGTGGCATGGGTCGAAGAACCTGCCGCCCTGCTTTTGCCAGCGCGAGGGGGCCGGAGGGCCCCCCCCCTCTCCGGAGGGGGCGGCGCGCCGGCCCCGCGCGGCGCGAGGGAGCGCCGCGCGAGGGGGGGCCCGCGGGCTCCAGGGGCACCGCCCCTGGCGAGGCGAGGGGGGCGGCGGAGGCGGGGCCTCGGCGCGGAGGTGCGGCACGCGACCGGCACGCGTGCGGAAGGAGAGGAGAGGACAGCGGAGACCCATGCCAAGGAACACCTTGCTCGCCTCCTCGTCCTCTTCCTCCTCCTCCTCCTCCTCCTCCTCCTCCTCCTCCTTTTGCTGCAGAGTTTTCCGAGGCGTCCTCCAGCGCCCAGGTGCAGCACGATGCAGCTCAAGCTGCCCTTCGCGACCCCAGGCTGACCAAGCCTGAGGAGTAGGCGGAGACGTCGTCGTCGTCGTTGTACGCTTGCCTCCTTCTGCTGCAGAGGTTCAGCACACGACCGGCACGGGTGCGGAAGGAGAGGGCACGATGCCCAGCTCACCGCCCAGGCCCCCTCGCGCTGGGCACAAAATCGCGACGGGAGGTATTTCGCCACGGGGCCCTCACCGGGCCTCGGGACCGTCATAAAGCGACTCAGGATGAAAAGCCGGTCCCGGCGAAGGGGTTCAGACCTCTGGGGCCGACGTTATGAAACAGATCGTGACGTCGGGGGTCTGGGCAAGCGCGTTCCACCACAGTTGAGGCCCATGCCAAGAAGCACCCTGCTCGCCTCCAGGGTGCGTGGGTTTTTTTGGGTTCAATGGTTTCGTGGTGGAAAGCGGAACGTCGACCACACGCCCAAAATCAATGGACGTCCTGGGTTCTCAGGGATGGGTTTCTTGTCGAAGGTTTCTTGAGGCCGGGCCCCTACTGTAGGCACAAAGTGCCTACTCGCAAACGTCCGAAAGCAAACGTGCCGAATCGCGAGTCCTTCGCGGCGGATCCAGGCCATTCGCGAGCAGTTATTTGGCGAGTCGTGGAACGCGCTTATTTACCAACACAGCAGGCGACCTCTCGCCCGCGACCGCCGACTCCCGAAGCAGAACCAAACGGCGCAAACAGCGTGCGCCGCGGGCGGCGCCGGCGCGAAGACGCTTGAGGTCGAATTCGACGGCGCGGGAGCACCGCCGGGCACGGTGGACGGAACGGGACCCGACGGATGTCAGCCGTGAACGATCGGGGCCGCGATCGGTGCAAGGGAGCGTAAGACCCGGGTTTGCCAGGACTCGGGATTGGAAAAAGAAACGAAGGATTGCAAAAAAAACTGTTTTTTTTGCAATCCTGGGTTTTTTTGCAATCCTTCGGGTTTTTTTGTTTGCAATCGTTCGCCATCGTTTTTTGACGACCGCGCCTCGGATTTTGACGAGGGGGAGTTTCGTGGGATGTCTGCGGCGGGAGGCCTCGTCAAAATGCAGGCTCGGCCTCGTCATTTTTTTGACGACCTCGTCGGGTATTTCCGAGTCCCCTGTACCCAGGTTTTACGTCCCCCTGAAGGTTGAACGACCGACGCGGCGTCAAAGACCTTTGCGCCCGCCGACGCCGCACGAACCTGATGCCCAACACTGTGCGCGACCTCTCGTCCCCAACCCCCGACTCGAAGGAAACGACACGGCATAAACATAAGTGTTTGGCGCTTCGCGCGGCTTGCTTTGATCCGCGCTCTGGGGCCCCCCGGCGGCGCCTCCTGTGCCGCCCCTGGCGCGCTCCGCGCGCCAGGTAAGCGGGTTCAGCGCAGATCCAAGAGAACCGCGCGTACCTCCAAAAGTTTATGCTTGTGTCGTTTTTCTTCATTCCTCGAAGTATGCCCAACGCCGCAGGCGACCTCTCGACCCCAACCCCCGACTCTTCTCACGATAAGTCAAGCGTCCCCGAAAAGGAGGGAAACTCGGGGATGCACCCCAGGGCGGGCAAGCGGACGCACCCATGTCGAGGACAGACGCCCACCTAACGTAATCATGTCCCACGAATGATTAGCGAAGCTTCCTGGCGGCAATTTGTCCGCACAGCGAAGCTGTCAGCATAGCGCCGCGCAGCCCAATTGCATTGTATCGGAGGTTGGGGGGTGAGATCGAAGTGGAACGGAGAGCCCCCCACCGGGAAATCGGGTTCGGTTTCGTCTTCGTGCGTGCCGTGCGTGCGGGCGAGGCGAAGCTGCGTGGGCGGGAGAGAGGAAAGTCTCCTGTGGCTGAGGCGCGGCCGGACCAAATGATTCTCCCTCCGGCAAGCGGTGGCCCGCGGTGTCCCGCCGGTGTCCCGCTTGTGGCTGGGATTCCCCCTCCGGCAAGCGGTGGCCCGCGGTGGCCCGCCGGTGACCCGCCGGTGTCTCGCTGGTGTCCCGGTTTCCCGCTGGCGCGACAACGATAGTGAGACCGATGACGAAATCGATTGTGAGATCGATAGTGAGATCGATAGTGAGACCGATATTGAGATCGATCGTGAGATCGATAGTGAGATCGATACTGAAATCGATTGTGAGATCGATAGTGAGATCGATAGTGAGACCGATAGTGAGATCGATCGTGAGATCGATAGTGAGATCGATAGTGAGATGAGTAGTGATATCGATTGTGAGATCGAGTGATATCGATTGGGAGATCGATAGTGGGATCGATAGCGAGATCCAGAGTGAGATCGACAGTGAAATCGATCGAGTGAGATCGATAGCGAGATCGATCGAGTGAGATCGATAGTGGGATCGATGGTCCCAAGAGCGAGCGGCAACGCAATAATCACCACTGTTGCCTATTGCTGGCCCCCCTCCCCCCCAACCTCCTTCTTACCCGCAAGGTGGTCGTATAGGTATGCAGTAGCGTTTTTGTTCCCCAAATCCTGTGTCCTGCGCACCTCCGGGTGTATGACTTCTTGCTTGCCTGCTTGCCATTTGGCAGCCCCACGAAGTCGGGGGTGTGCCGCGTACTGAACTGCCCTCAATCGACTCCCGCCCATCAGACTCCTCTTCTGTCCCGTCAGCACCGCGCGGGGGGAGGGCTTCTTAGAAGCATCCGTGCTTCTTAGAAGGCGCGGGCCTTATCTGTAGGCCGGCGCCTTCTAAGAAGCAGCCTCCTTCTAAGAAGCCCTCCCCCCTCCCCCCACCCCTTTTTGCGCGCCGCCAAAAGACGAGGAGGAGGAGGAGGAGGAGAGGAGAAGGAGAGGAGAAGGAGGAGGAGGAGGAGGAGGAGGAGGAGGAGGAGGACGAGGAGGAAGAAGACGAGGAGCGGGAGGGCATCGGCGTTGCCCCCCCGTAGATCGCGTTGTCCAGGTCACCCCCAGGGGCGCGGAGACGACCGCGCTGCCCGCAGAGCGCGGCCTGGGCTGCGGGGGCACCGTGCTCCATGGCCGCGGCGTGGGGGCGCGAAGGGGAGCGCACGTCGCAGGGCGCGGCGCGCGAAGAGTGAAGGAACCCTTTTCGCTGGGGAGGGGCTCCGTGTTCCTTGATTGTTTCACAGCTTGCCTCAGGTTTTCCCAAGGTTTCCCATGGGGAATCGAAGTTTAAGTTAAGGGAGAAAGGGGCCTCGTTCCTTATTTAGGGCTCCTTAGGTCAACGCATCGACTGTAGAAGTGCTTGCTGTGAAGTTGGGCGTGCCCCTCTACAGTCGGGGGCGGACAGACCCCCCAATAGTGACGCGTCGATTGGTGAATTGTCCGTTTTCCGTTCTCGAGAGGGCGCCGCGGCCGTTATTTCCCAGGCTTGCGCCCGCCAGGTTGGGCCTCAGGTCGTTTTCACTAAACCACGTTTTACTACAGGGAGGCCCGATACAGGAGGAAAATTCAAGAGTCACCAAAAGTAGTAAGGGGACTATGTTTTGGTATGTTTTTGCAATTTTGGAATACTTTTTGCCAATTCAAATATTGGCCATTTTGGCCATTTGAAATTGGCCACTTGTTGGCCATTTTGGCAATTTTGGAATACATTGTTCGTTCAAGATCCCCCCTGTATGGGAACAGGCCCGACTTAAGCCTGCTGCTGGGTGATCCCACGCGCTCGCGGTTCTTTTTCCAGCAGTCGTCGGGGCACGTCTCGAAGGAGAAGAAGCAGAAAGCAGCGCCATACACAGAAACATCTGGCCCCCCGCGCGGGTTTCTCGGATCTGCGCTGGGGCCCCCCTGGCGGCGACTCCAGCGCCGCCTCTGGCGCGTTGAGGGGGGCCCAGCGCAGATCCAATGAATCCGCGCGGAGCGCAAACATTTATGTTTATAGCGTTTCTTCTTCTTCTAATGGGGCAGCTCGCGTTAGTGACGACCCTCTTCGCGCGGCCGAGCCGTTTGGTTCGGACCTCAGTCCCTGCTTGTTTGTTTGTTGTACGTTCATGGCTCCCTTCCAGCATACCAGACGACTCGTTGTCTTGGCAGCTTTGCCTGAGACGGTGACGGGACATTCCTGGGTTGCCTGCACGGACTACCGCGGGGACGTGAACTATTTTGAGCAGGAGAAGTGCGAGGCCTGGCCACGGCAGTGGTGGAACCGCGGCGAGCGCAACGCCCCGCAGCCCAACGGCTACCACATCGCAGAGGAGCCCCCGTCGCGGGCTTGGCAAGGCCTGGGTTGCGACGTGGCAATGGCGGCGCCCAGCTGGCAGGACGGCTACTCGCCTGATTTTCCTTTTGCGATCTACGAAGCGGGCAGGGTGTATTGCTTGGCTTGGCCCATGAAGAATCACGGGGTCCTGCCCGCTGGTTGTCATGTCCAGCAGTCCAAGTCGGATGAGGGCCAAAACGAGTCGCTGACGCTGCTCGTGAGCGCTGTCGGCCCTCAGGTAGACCCCTCGCAGGAGGAGTTCGATCTGCGCAACATCAATGAGCTCGGTGGTCTCGCGCGCAACTGCAGCGGTGGGGGGCCCTCGGACGCTTGTCAGCTCGGCCTCGAGAGGCACCGCACGGGCGAGGCGGACTGCAAGGGATTCACCCGCGCGCCCAGGTTCTGCGAGAGCTCCGGGGCAGCCCTGGGCACGGGCTGCTTCAAGGTCCCCGAAGGCATGGTGCCTGGGCACTACGTGGCGCAGTGGCGCTGGGACGCCTCCTTCCCGCGCTCTGGGGGGACGCAGCACTCCACCTACACTTCCTGCTTCGACTTCCAGGTGGTGCCACGCGGCTCTGGTAGCGCGCGCCAGGGGCAGCCCGGAACTGTCGGCACACCAGACTCTGACTTGCCATGCCAGAACAATGTGCTCAAGTTCGACGGCGACTCCGCCACCGCGACGCCGTCGACAGCGACTGCGGCACCAGGCGCTGTGCCGGCGCCTCCGCCCACGCCCGCGCCGACGCGGTCGTGCGCGGCCGCGTACGAGATCTGCGCCGACCCGAGCTGGGGCGGCCCGCGCTGCTGTGCGGAGGGGTACCACTGCGTGCACGCGAACGAGCACTGGGCCTCGTGCCTACCAGGCGGCGTGGCCACAGAGGCGGCGGCTGGCCCAGCGCCGACGCCTCCGCCCGCGTCTGTGCCGACGCGGTCGTGCGCGGCCGCGTACGAGATCTGCGCCGACCCGAGCTGGGACGGCCCGCGCTGCTGCGGGCAGGGGTACGACTGCGTGCATGCGAACGCGCACTGGGCCTCGTGTCAGCCTCTGCCAGCCCTCGCGACCGTGTCCGCCCGGCAGTCCACCAATGTCGGGGGAGCTCAGCGCGTTCGCTCGCCAGGGACCCCTCGCAACCTCAGGGTCAAACGCCACGCTACAGAGAACGGAGGCCTTCAGCCCGGAGGCCTTACCGACAGCAGGAGTAACGGCGGGCAGTTGTAGGTGAGCGGGCCACAGGCGTGCCTTGAATTCGGCGCTTCGCGACCCTCTGGGCAAGCACAGACTCAGGCTTCACGAGAGGGCTGCGAAGAGCATTTTGGGCCAGTGGCCTCGCAAGCCACGCTGGAACGGGCTTCTTCTACAGCGCCTTGCGAACAGCGCAGTCTTGGCAGACTGCGGATATGCATACGGTCAATAACCCACCTCCTTTCGCAGGGATCGAGTGGCTCGTGGTCCCACAGGGATCTTGCAGCACGAGCAGCGGGCCGCAGCTGTCATTATATGCTCCGCAATTCGTGCCGTTCCGCGTGTCTCCACCAGCCTATCCAGCAACGATGACCAGGCGAGTTTCATTGATCAGGGAAGTGTAGGAGCACGCAGCGGAACAAAGCCGTCATACCTTTTATCCTTGGCATCGCTCGGACGTGTGCGTTTTTTTCTCGGCGGGGACCAGCGAGGAGCATCCTGGATCACCGGACGAACAAAAAGCACGCACGAATCCGAAACATGCACGGGGAATGGACGTCCGAGCGATAGCGAGTATCGGGATTAGCCCGAACAGGCCCAGGAGTCAATCATGAATGCCCAGGAGTCAATCATTAATGCTTTCGCGGATCTTCCGATCTGGTAGCATCTTGCTGGCTTGGGACATCTTGGGGCCCTCTTGGGCTAAGTTGGGAGGTTTGGGGGCTCTCTTGAAGCCCTTTAGGCGGCCTTGAGGGCCATCTGGGAGGCCATCGATGAGAGAGTGGGGATAACCAATTACGGTCCCTCAGTCGGAGGCAGAAACGTCTCAGTTGGGCGCCCTTGTGGGTCTCTATTGGGCACTCTTGGGCCCGTCTTGGAGCCCCCCATTTGGCCCCTCTTGGGGCTCCATTGAGTCATGTTGGAGCCATCCTGAAGCCTCAGAAGCCCATCGAAGACGAACAGGCGAGAAGAAAACAAACAGGTACATGCCGTTGGTGTTGGAAGGCGCTTGGGCTTGTCGGGGGCAGCCACGGGGACTCCGCGGCCACTTTTGGAGCCGCTTCGGGGCGCTCATGGGGCCGCATAAACCTCCTCCTCCTCCTCCTCCTCCTCCTCGTCCTCCTCCTCGGGCTGCATCGTGCCGTCTTGGAGGCCATTGTTCTTGAGGAGCCCTCTTGGCGCTCCAGCGCGTCAGGACCTCCCCTCCTCCAGACCGGCTGGGGGGGACTTCCCCTGACAGGGCAGCCAAACCCCTCCCTCTCCTCCTCCCTCTCCTCCTCCTCCTCCTTCCTCCTCCTTCCTCCTCCTCCTCCTCCCCCTCCTCCTCCTCCTGCTCCTCCCTCCTCCTCCTCCTCCTCCTCCTCCTCCTCCTCCTCCTCCGCCTCCTCCCTCCTCCTCCTCCCCCTCCTCCTCCTCCTCCTCTCCTCCTCCTCCTCCTCCTCCCCCTCCTCCTCCTCCTCCTCCCGTCCCTCCTCCACCTCCTCCTCCTCCCCCCCCCTCCTCCTCCTCCTCTCCTCCCTCCTCCTCCCCTCCTCCTCCTCCTCCTCCTCCTCCTCCTCCTCCACCCTCCTCCTCCTCCTCCCTCCTCCTCCTCCTCCTCCTCCTCCTCCTCCTCCTCCTCCTCCTCCTCCTCCCCTCCTCCTCCTCCTCCTCTCCTCCTCCTCCTCCTCCTCCCCCCCTCCCTCCTCCTCCTCCTCCTCCTCCTCCTCCTCTCCTCCTCCTCCTCCTCCTCCTCCTACCTCCTCCTCCTCCTCCTCCTCCTCCTCCTCCTCCTCCTCCTCCTCCTCCTCCTCCTCCTCCCACCTCCCTTCCTCCTCCCCTCCTCCTCCTCCTCCTCCTCCTCCTCCCCCTCCTCCTCCTCCTCCTCCTCCTCTCCTCTCCTCCTCCTCCTCCTCCTCCTCCTCCTCCTCCTAGGGGCCCTCGAGGGGCTCCGGAGGATCCCCGGAGGAGCCCGAGGCGGGCGCCCCGGGACGGGCCCCCGAGGGCCCAACGAGGGCCACGGATGCTTCCGAGTGTCGGAAAGGCCAGCAGGGGACCCACCGAGCACAGCGCGCCTGCCCAGAGCAGTGGTTGCCTCTGGCTGCCCCTGAGATCCGACGTGGCAAAAACATTGAGACATCGCGAGAGATCACGCCCGGAGCCCTAGATCCTATCTTTCTGTGTCATTTTTCGAGCCGGCAGTACAGCATTCCGTGGCTGAAGGGGGAGCTCCACCGAAGGTTCCAATAGCGCAGTCCGCATGCGTCTTGCCCACCTTGCACAGCGCTTCGTGGCCCTAGAAGGAGCTCCACCGCAGGTCCCACGGCGCAGTTCGTGTACGTCTCCCCCGCCCAGTACGGCGTTTCGTGGGCCCAAAGGTCCCAGTGGCGCAGTTCGCATGCGTATTGCCCACCTTGCACAGCGCTTCGTGGCCCCAGAGGGAGCTCCACTGAAGGTCCCAGTGGCGCAGTTCGCATGCGTTTTGCCCACCTAGCACAGCGCTTCGTGGCCCCATAGGGAGCTCCACCGAAGGTACCAGTGGCGCAGTTCGCATGCGTATTGCCCACCTTGCACAGCGCTTCGTGGTCCCAGAATGAGCTCCACTGAAGGTCCCAGTGGCGCAGTTTGTTTGCGTCTTGCCCAGCCTAGTAGAGCGCTTCGTGGTCCACCGCAGGTCTCCGCAGTGCAGGTCGCATGCGTCACCCCCACCCAGAATAATTGCTTTTGGTCCCAGAAGGAGCTCCACCAAGGGCCCCAGTGGCGCAGTTCGCATGCGTCCCCCCCACCCCGTACAGCGCTCCGAGGCCCCATAGGGAGCCGCACCGAAGGTCCAACTGGCGCAGTTTGCGTGCGTTTCTCCCACCCAGTACAGCGTTTCGTGGCCCCAGAGGGAGCCACACCGAAAATCCGATTGGCGCAGTTCGCATGCGAGGTTCCAGTGGCGCAGTTCGCATGCGTTTCTCCCACCCAGTACAGCGCCTCGTGGTCCCAGCAAGAGCTCCACCGAAAGCCCAATTGGCGAAATTCGCACGCGTCCTGCCTGCCAAGGACAGCGCTTCGAGGCCCCATGGGGAGATCCATTCAGAGGCCCCAGTGGCGCAGTTCGTATGCATCTCCCCCACCCAGTACAGCGCTTCGTGGGCCCATACAGGGCTCCACCGAAGGTCCCCAGTGGCGCAGTTTGCATGTGTCTCTCCCTCCCACAGTACAGCGCTTCGTGGCCCCATAGGGAACTTCACCGAAGGCCCCAGGGGCGCAGTTTGCTTGCGTCCCCCCCCCAGTACATCGCTCCGTGCCCCCATGGGGAGCTCCACTGCAAACCCTAGTGGCAAAGTTCGCATACGTCTCCCCCGCCCAGTACAGCGTTTCGTGGCCCATAGGGGGCCCCATGGAAGACGATACCCCCAGCTGCGGTATTCACAACTGCGTATGGTCGGGTTTTTCGCCAGGCTGTTTTTTTTTCCGAGGGGGCGTGGGACGAGCTTCCTGGACCCCTCCGAATCATTGTCGCGGGGGGGGGGGTCCGCCCCTCCCCTCCTGGATTCTTCCCGTTGGGGGGGGGGGCGTGGGAAGGGGGGCCCCCTAGTTTCTGACCCCACTGAAGATATTGTTTCGGGGGGGGCGTGGGGGAGGCCCCCCTGTGTTCTGACTCCGCCCGCACGAGACAAATTAGCCTGACGAAGGACCCAACCATATGCAGGTGTGAGTACCGCAAGTGTGATTTACTTTTTCGGTGGTGATACCTATGAGGCAACGAACCGTGCCAGGGGTGTGCCGAAATGAGTGGCGTTGCACACAACGCGAGCGAAAACGATTGTTCTGAGTACGTAGGGAGACTGAGCGCGGGTGAATATGAGCGCGAGTGCGTCTGACTGTGGGCGAATCTGCGTGCGAGCGAGTTTACGTGCATGAACGCGAGTATGACAAAGCATGATGTAATTCTATCTGAATGTCAATAGTTTGAGAATGATTGCGTCGGAGTACTCGTGACGCTGGGCGTGGCCGCCGCAAGGAGCTTCCCCGTGACTCCCCGACGGCATCGCCCGCGCGCCGCGACGCCAATGTCGGCGCGCCCCCCCGCGAGAATCGCGCCCGCTTCCTCCCCTTCTTTTACTCCCTCTTTGCCCGCGCACTCAAAAGTCCGAGGTTATGGGCGCAGCGCAGCGCGGAGTTCCCGCGACGCGCGCACGTCGCCCCGGAGGGGTCCCAGCGACGCGGGCGGGTCGTCCGTTGCGCGGAGCAAAGAGAGCTAGTTGGCTGGCTGATAGCGGGCACGGCGACGACGGGCGAGCGAGGCGCTGGGCAGAACGCAGCACGGAGTCCCCGCGACGCGCGCTGGCCGCCCCGGAGGATGCGAATTGTGCCACTGGGACCTTCGGCGGGGCCCCTATGGGGCCACGAAACGTATCGTGCGAACTGTGCCACAGGGACCTTCGGCGGAGCTCCTATCGGGCCACGAAACGTGTGAGGGGTGTGCCGACATGACTGGCGGGGGCGCATGCGAACTGTGCCACTGGGACCTTCGGCGGAGCTCCTTTGGGGCCACGAAAGGTGTGATGGGGGTGTGCCGAAATGAATGGCGGGGGCGCATGCGAACTGTGCCACGGGGACCTTCGGCGGAGCTCCTATGGGGCCACGTAGCGTGTGAGGGGTGTGCCGACATGAGTGGCGGGGGCGCATGGAGACTGTGCCACTCGGACATTCGGCGGAGCTCCTATTGGGCCACGAAGCGCGTGAGCGGTGTGCCGAAATGAGTGGCGGGGTCGCAAGCGAACTGTGCCACGGGGACCTTCGGCGGAGCTCCTATGGGGCCACGAAGCGTATCATGCGAACTGTGCCACAGGGACCTTCGGCGGAGCTCCTATGGGGCCACGAAGCGGGCGAAGGGTGTGCCGAAATGAGTGGCGGGGACGCGTGCGAACTGTGCCACGGGGACCTTCGGCGGAGCTCCTATGGGGCCACGAAACGTGTGAGGGGGTTGGCCGACATGATTGGCGGGGACGCGTGCGAACTGTGCCATTGGGACCTTCGGCGGAGCTCCTATGGGGCCACGGGGCGTGT